GTTATTTACTATAAGAATACATAGGATTTAGAAGCAGACTGCATTATTTGACTGGTATCCAGTGAGAAACCTGTTGTTTTTTGTGAACCATACGAAGCTGAAGATGGCAAAACAACTAGCATCCAAGAGTAATGAAATATTTCTGAGGGACTATTGTTAAGAGAAAGGGGGATTCCTTTTTAAGAAAGCCCTTTTTCCCCCTCTAGGAGAGAGCTGCTTCCTTCCTTTAAGAGCCACCTGAAAGGCAGACACAGGCTGCGGTCACACGGGCAGGAAAATGCAGGGGGGGAGCGTGGCTGTTTGCCCCGGGGCGAAATAACATGCGGTTGCGCCAGCAGACGTACCATGGAGGTCCTGTGGTAGGGGGGAGGTGCCAATCACACCACAATCCTGCGTGCGGCAAAGGGGTGTTTTTTCTTCTTGACACCAAAGTGTGCGCATACCCCGTTGGGTGCTTGTGCGCATCCCATGGACAGTTGGGAAAAAAAACCCTTTTTACGAGGGGGCATGGGCGGGCGCCGGATGCCATGGGAGTCCCCCGGAAACGCTATCACGCGCCTGCCCTTGCCCCGCGCCTGCCCTTGCCCCGCCACAGGAGCTCTACGCTTCCCAGATGTGGCAGTGTGATCCTGCCCGGAAAATCCACCTAACTTCCGTCGCAGTAGCCTGGCTACTGCTCCGTGTGACCACAGCTATTGGCTGTGTTCTCTCTCTCTCTCTCTCTCTCTCACACACACAAAATAATCCACTTTCAGTGCACTTTTCAACTGGATTTTGCCAGGTCACACAGTAAAACCCAATTGGAAAGTGCATTGAAAGTGGATTATTTAGTGTGTGTGACGACAGCCACAGAATCATAGCATTGGAAGAGAACTCCAGGGTCATCTAGTCCAACATACAAGTTCATCGCTCCCCACTCGCTGGGGCTTAACCAGGGGGAGAACCTGTTAAGGGTCCAGAGTCTGACAGGCAAACACAAACGTAACCTGACCGCCTTTCTCCATCCTTTTGTGTTCATTTTCCCCTTAAGAAAGCCGTTAGATCCGCCGCGTCTCATTTGCACCGCTGTGCGCAAACTGCGCTGTTCAACTTTTTAACGGGTGAGCGTTTGCCTGCAGGCCCTGAGGTCTCTTCCCCCCCCCCGCCCCCGCTCAGGAATTCCGCCAGCGGAACTGCTTTGTGAATCGCCCCCTCGATGCATGCGCCCTCCGCAAAGCACAAACCAGTACCGGCGCTAACCGGCGCCCTCCCCGCACTCACAAACTGAGAGAGCTCCCTGGCGCTTTGGGGGTCGTTGTCCGCCATCTCCCGTCCACCAGCTCTTTCGCACGACGCCCGCCTGCTCCCGTGTTTTCCCCAGCCAAATAGCAACGTCTGGCCTCCCGTGCCGCCTTCCAGGGGCGCCAAGAGGATCGTCAACCTGGGACGGGCCAGGACAGACGCCTCTGAAGCGCGAGGGCGGGAGACGCCCTCTTCCGCTGGGTGGCCGAGGGGGGAGAGGCATGTGGCGGCGAGGCTCGCTCCGCCTCCTCGCGACGCGCAAGGTAACCTGGCCAGACGGGTCTGTCTGCCTTCCACTCTCTGGCATCTCGGCTCTGCGCCGCAAAACTCGTTCGCCTCTCCCACCTGTGTTAAAGCGAGATTTCGGAAGTACAGTATGAGGGTTTCGACTGTGTGCGGAGGAGTCTACCCTGGCACCTGCCTTTAAGGAGAAACCACTGTAGGAAAGTGGATAGTGTAGTTAAAAACCACCTCACCAATGAGCTGTTTTTTCACAGGGTGATCTTATTTATTTATTTATGTTATTAAAGTTATATCCCGCTCTCCCCAAATGGGCGGGTAACAAGAGGCATATGCCATGATATGCAAGATATTCTCTCAATTTTTGAGCACTGAAAAGGTGCTTATGTTTCTTGCTGAAATCCATGTGATTACACTGTGATTCAATATGGGGAGTAACATCTGAAGCAGTTGAAGCTGTGTATGATGGTAGAGGAGAGCGCAAAAGTGGGCTTGAAGCTCAACATAAAAAAAACTAAGATCATGGCATCCGGACCCATCACTCCTTGGCAAATAGAAGGGGAAGTCATGGAAATAGTGACAGACTTCACGTTCCTGAGATCCCAGATCACCGCAGACTGTGACTGCAGCCATGAAATTAAAAGACTCCTGCTCCTTGGGAGGAAAGCGATGGCGAACCTAAGCACCATGATAAAAAGTAGAGACATCACCCTGCCAACAAAAGTCCGCATGGTCAAAGCAATGGTATTCCCAGTAGTCATGTATGGCTGCGAGAGTTGGACTATAAGGAAGGCCGAGCACAGAAGAATAGATTCTTTTGAACTATGGTGCTGGAGAAGACTCTCGAGAGTCCCTTGGACTGCAAGAAGATCAAATCAGTCAATCCTAAAAGAAATCAACCCTGACTGTTCCCTGGAAGGCCAGATAATGAAACTGAAGCTCAAATACTTTGGCCACCAAATGAGAAGGGAGCACTCACTGGAGAAGACCCTGATGCTGGGAAAGATTGAAGGTCAAAGAAGACGGGGATGGCAAAGGATGAGATGGTTAGACAGTGTCATAGATGCAACGAACATGAAATTGAGTGAACTTCAGAGGACAGCGGAAGACAGGAGGGCCTGGCGTGATCTGGTCTATGGGGTCACAAAGAGCTGGACTCGACTGTGCGACTGAACAACAACAAAAATCAAATACTTAGCTTTAGATTTTGTGGCCATTCTTTAATCTCAAAGCCCAAAGTTTCATGCATAGTCCCCTCCTCAGAAACTGATGTAGTAAACAGTGCCAGAAAATGATTTTCCTAGCATGTCACAGGAATGTGACAAGGAACTATTCTTCACAAGTTCAGGTTGCTAGCAATTATACCCCCCCAACTTATCATCTTTCAGGTTGGCTGCCCAAAACCAAGCAATTCCTGCCCTCCTTTTCAGTCACACACTCTAAGCCTAACCTATCTCACAGGTTTGTTATGAGAACAAAATGGAGTAAACAAACTAAATAAATAATATATTACACCCCTTGGAGGACACCTGGAGATATAAGAGGTGGGATGGGCATGTCACATTAGCACTCACTCTCTCCCCAGGGTAGTATCAGGGGTAGGGATGGGCACAAACCACATTTTTGCAGTTTGGTTTATGATTCGTGGTTGAACCATAAACCTATACAAACCGGAAGGTTGGTTCATGAACCAAATCAGTTTGTATGGGTTTATGACCCCTACTTTCTGCTCCCCACCACTTGCCACGGGAAGGAGAAAGCAAGGGTTTAAATGGCTTGGAGCTGAAACCAAGAAAGCCCCTTTAAACAGCTGAGCTGCCCGGAGCTGAACACTTTGCTCCATGCGGCTCAGCTGTTTAAAGGGGCTTTCTTGGGCAGGGAGCCCGGGGCTGTCTGTCAAAGAAAGCACTTTTAACAGCTGAGAAGCATAGAGCAAATTGCTGTGTGCAGTACAGTTTGCTCAGTGCCTTCAGCCGTTTAAACTTTAAAGAGACTGCACCAGAAAGCCTGAAACAGCTGAGTGGTGGGGAGTCCCAGCCACTCAGCTGTCTGGGGGGTTTTCTGCTCTGGCCATGAACTGCCTTAAAAGTTTGTGGAAGTCCATGACAGTAGACCCATTACTGACTTTGGTTCCTGAACCACAAGCAGGACGAAATTCATCACAAATTTTGCTTCATGGTTCAGTTTGTGCCTATCCCTAATTAGGGGCCTTATATAAACCAACACTAAAATAAGAGATGTCTTAAAGCTATAGGACATCTACAGTGATGGAAATCAGGACCAGGATCCAAACAGCTGCATAGACTCCTGCAAGGAGTTCGTGCTATTAATCATTGGAATTTTAAAAACATTTTTTGAATTGCTGGATTTCATATGGTATCTCAGTCCTCTAATTTTAAAAAATAGTTTGCCATTTGGCCTGGGGAGGGGTGTTGCTGTTCTAGAAAAAAATGGTTTAAATCATGCTGGCCATGATGTTTGGAAGTTCAGGACATTGTATTCTGTGATGTTGTCATTCTCGAATAAGGAACTGTTAAAAATAAGTGCCTGGCAACCATACTGAACACACACACACACCCTTTGTCTCTCAAATGTTCCTATTTACTCTTGAGCACACAGATGGCTTGCACACTTTGAGGAAAATATGTCAGAGAGACTGGCAGGACAAGTTATATCAGTACTGTACATGGTAGCCACCTTTCTCTGAACTTTCTGGGAGCTACCTAAAAGTCACTTTGGATAATCAGAGGTTTGGGTAAACAGAGGTGATATTTACCTTGGTCCATTTGTGCATATTTAGAAAGGAGGAACATTGTGGAGTAGAATTCTCAAGTTATTCATTACTGATTTTTTTTTGTATGTATGGTGCTTATCATAGTAATCTTCACAGTTGTTTTAGATTTGTCCTTCATCAGCACCATTTCAGTTTCACGGACAGAGAGCTAGGAAAATAATTACTTTTCCTTTTTTTTTGTCCCCCCCCGTAGGGGATTTTTTAATTGCATTTTCTACAAACTACAAAGAAACAAGGAAAGGTAACTACAAACTACAGGTGAAAGTAAAGAAAAGCCACTAAAAACCCAAGAGATGGTGGTCATACACAATGCTTACAAAATTACCTTCTAGTTAAATAAGATTATACTTTGCTACGTTAAGTGAGTATACAATTCTTATTGCTTATACTGAAATCTCCAACAGATCTGACTATATAAAGAGCTCTATAGAGAAATAATTTAAATTCATTTAAAACAGAATCTAGAGACAATCACAACTTTGGTTTCTCAATTGATAGCTTAATTTAGGGGCAGCTGCCCCACGTTCAGAAACTGAGTCCTCATCAGAAGGTGCCAGTGCTCCTTCTTCTTCACTTCCCTTGCTGCTGCCATCTTCATCTTTATCCTCTTCACTTGCTGGACCGGCATGTTGATGTAGAAATTTGCATGCCTTTACAACAGAGTCAATTTTTCTTTCTTGTCTTTAAATTTGAAGAGCATGACTTCTGGAACACTCCATCTGTAGGGGACATTGTTTTTCTGTAAGAACAGCGCCAAGTCTCTGAATTTCTTTCTCTTTTTCCTTACTTCAAACGGAATGTCCTTCAAAACTCTTATTTCTTTGTCTTTGATTTTCAGGATGGCTCCACTTGTTGCTTTCAATATTTAATCTCTTACTTGTCTCCTGGAGAATCTCAAGAATTACTTTTCCAAACTAGTCAATAAAATTCATGTCCAGATCCCAACAAGTTGGGACCTGGAAGAAACTTGCAGGAGTATCTTCCCCATTCCCACCACCTCTGCTTCTCCCCCTCTCCCCCTACTTCTCTCACACTC